CTTTCTGAGATTACGAGGTCGGATTGTTTGAGGTATAAGGGTGTGAATTTTTGTGTGTGGTGTAGAATTTGTTGGTTGTGGGTGATGTTTCGAATCCATAAATTGGATATTTCTAATTTGGCTAATGTTAAGAGAGAAAGGGGAAGAACGAAGGTGAGAGTGATTTTGGTGAACATCTTTCTCCATTTGTGAATCAATTTGATGGTTTCTTGGAAAATTTCCAAGATTCCCCAAAATTGCATTTTTTCTAGTTCTAGTTCTACCTCCTTTTTTTTTTGGCTTAGGTGGATGAAATGCGAAGATTGAAGAACTTGTGAAAATAGAAGGGAGATTTATAGCTACAAAATTTTGGTAAGGTTTAAAAAAAAATAAAACACTTTTAATTTGACCCATTTGAGCTAAATGATTCTAAGTTTAGTTGACTAATGATAAAATGACTTGGCAATGAAATTGTTTACGGACTTCATTAAATTGGTAAAATATATATTATTTTAGTGATATTTTGTTGGTAAGTGTTAAGGATCTCACATTGAACAGAAAAAAAGACATTTATAATAGACATGAGCTTCTGATATTATCAAAACTAATTGGTTTTGAGATGGAACCCATGAATATGGTATCAGAGCCCAAAACGCTCAAATGAGTAACCGATTCAAAAATAATATCTAGCCAAGATCGACCAGCTAAAAGAACCACAATTTGAAGGGGACATGTTAAAGATTCCACATTGAAAAGAAAATGGATCTTACGTAGGTTTATAATAGACATGAGCTACTTCTCTCAAAGTCAATATGAGCGGTTGCAGTAGAGGCCGGAGACGATGAGCTCAAAAAGAACTATTAAACTAGTATGTTTTGTCTTAATTAGTTAACAGTCAAAGTAACTTAAAGGACACCACTTAAAACGTTTTTTTTTTCTTTTTTTTAATTTCAGGTACTAAAAGTATTTTTCTTTTAAAAACTTTAGAGACATAACAGGTACGAATTTTAAACTTCAAAGATCAACCGTACATCTTGCCTTTATTATTATTATAAATTTTTAAGACTGATTCAAAAACTAGTGGACCTGAACAAAATGATCAAGAACTAGTAAACCCTTCTAATTATTGACTTGTAAACTTGTTCGTTGTTTGTTATAAAATAAATAAATAAATGATATATTGTAAATTAATTAGGCTGTGTCAATTGAACCATAGTCAGTAGATTATAATTTATTTATTTATGTGTAATGAAACTCTAATTAAACTGAGAAATCATGTCAAAAAAAAAAAATGAGAAATGAATTTTTGGATTAAGACAACTTTTTTTTAGTACAATAAAAGACAATTAATCCTTTTCAAAAAAATAAAAAATAAAAAATAAAAAAACAATTAATTGCTAAATAATATAATACCATTTTTTTTTGACTTCATTTAAGCTCGAAATTATGTCACTTCCTAAACACTCTTGAGAAAAACTGTATAATAGAAAGAAAGAAAAAAAAAAACCTTCTGTGTTCTTTCTTTCTTTCTTTCTTTTTTTAGTTATGGTCAAAATTATGAGTAATTCTTTTTTTAGTAGAATATGTGAGGGTGCCTCTTTTTAACTCTTAAATTGTGGTATTAGAACGTTATGTTATATTCTAAATCAATTTTATTTTCTCTTAATGTAGAAGGTATTTAAATTATAAAATCTTGATGAAATTATTTATTCATCTTTCATATTTCCAAAAGTGACCTTCATAAAAATGATAAGTTTGGAATAAGTATTTAGTTTATAATTAATTTGTTGATGTAATAGTTCTAAGATGAGTAATTAAAATGACAGACATTCAACAAATTTTGCGTGGTTGACAAGTTCAAGGTTGCTATAAAAAAAAAAGAAGAAGAAGAAAGACAAGTTCAAGGTTCCATTTTTAATTAATAAGATTAGTCATTATAAATATTTTAAATTATAAATTAATTTTATGAAATTCGAGAAGGTTTCAATTAGTTATGAAGATCTCGTTTGATAATCCTTTCACTTTTAGTTTTGAGTATTTGAAAATGTCTCATTTTTAGTTTTGAGCGTTTGAAAATTATGCTGGTTTGCTTACAATTTTTTCCATGTGATTTCACCTCTCTTAAAAACACACTTTAATTTTTAGCCAAAATTTAAAAACAAAAACAAGGGGTCGAAAACTATTTTTTTAGTTTTCAAAATTTAGCTTAAGTTTTGATAACACCTCTAAAATTTAGATAGTTAAACAAAGAAAATACAGGCAAAAATACAAATTTAATTTTTGAAAATAGAAAATCAAAACCAAAATAGTCATCAAAGTTTGATTCTAATAAATCTCTTTTTCTTGATATAATTACAAAACCCATAACGAAAAATGGACAAGCAAATATGAGAGCAAACTGCAACTGAATCACAAGTAAAGGAGAATGCTATTATACGTTAAGGAATGATAATTATTATGTTTATGCTTTTTTATTTTAAAAAATTAAACTGATAAATTGTACTACATTATTTTTTTTATCAACATGGACCTAGTTCAGCGGTAATTAACATGTACTCCTTCCCTTGTGATCGGAGGTTCGATCCTCATATCCCTAAATTGTTGTACTAAAAACTGTACTACTTTCAACTATTTTTTTCTATAGATCTATTTTAATCTAATCCAAATTTTGAAAATTAAAGTAGTTTTCAATTCATAAGCTGAAGTAGAATAAATCTTAAAATTTAACATCAAAATAGAATTTAAACTTTACATGTGTCCTTATATATAATTTAATTATTTGAATAAGAGATATTTTTTTAAAGCAACAAATATGGAGTCGAGGAATTAAACCTTCGACAATAGTGGAAGGAGGTGTCCTTTTAACTCCTAAACTATACTAAAAATAATGTTCATATTGGATGTTTTTATTTAATTGTAAAAGTAATTTTGACATGGTCAATTATAGAGATAAACTATACATATATATTTTTTTAATTTTGTCATTTAAATTTGAGCATATTTTATTAATAGAGGAATCAATTTCTTTTTTAAAGTTTTAAAAATATAATTTGGGTTGAGAAGATCATCTAACTAAATAGAGGTCTTAGAGGTCTCGTACTAATGTGATCGTAGTTCAACTTGTTAAGGCACTTATTTTAACTTAAAAATAGTGAATTCTAACCCAATCTCATATGTTGTATTAAAAAAGAAAAAAAAAAAGAGAAATTTCATAGATAAATGACCATTGTCATATTCTATTTTAACTTTTCTAAATTAACTAATTGATTAACTTTTGTTTTATTATTTGTATATTGTATATGGGGTGGAGATTCAACCATAACCTTTTGTTCAGGATTATATGCCTAATCAATGAATTTATATAATAATTAATTGATTTAATTAATTAAACTTTACCAACTCTTCCTTAAAGTGTTATTTCTAACTTTCTAAATCAACCCAAATTAAGAGTTAACAATTTATGCCATAAATTGGTGATAGTTTATTGATGCATATATAAATTTTTTTTATTTTATTTATATATGGAGTAGGAATTCGAAAATCTAACATTTTGGTCGAGATACTTACTATAGTCAATTAAACTATGTTCAAGATAACTATTGATGCATAAACGGATAATTTAGATATAAAAAAATTAAGATCATGATGCAAAAATGGAACATAAAAAATTTCTCATCTATCCTATCTTTTAAACAAATAATTTTTTTAGAATATTACAATTAAAATGAAATAGCCGCGTGAGGATTCTAGCTCATGACCCGTAAAAATACACAAAGTCATGTTTTAAAATAATTTTTATAGAAAAAAGGGTATATATTAGAACCATTCAACCAAAATTAGTTTCGTGAGAAATTTACAACTTATTAGAGTGGAAGTTATTTGAATATCCCTAACTTAAATACTTATAGGGACATTGCAGGTTTCACCTTCAGTGGCCCATTAGGAAATAAATTCAAAGAAAGTAGGCAAAAATTAAAATGACAAATATAGCCAAATTGTATCTAAATTGATTGAGTAAACCAATCATTAATTAATACTATTATATAATTTACTTTTCTTAATAAAAGTCCTTTTTTCAAATAATAATAATAACAATAATGATAAAACTATTGATTTACTGACATTAAATTCTGGCTTCTTAATTATATATATAACTTATTCACAAACTAGCTTGTATTATTTATAAACATTATATTATTTTTTATCCTCTTTGCCTGGTAAATATCACCAATTAATATTGCTAATTTGTTATGATGATTGTGCTTGAAATAGCAACAGGCGAGTATATCAACTAGTTAATTTTATTTATTTATCATTTTTGCTACGGTTGAAATTTTCGAAGCTCCCTTTCAACTCATGTTTTAAATATTCATCGATACGTCGAATTTTCATCGACAGATTCATGTTTCTATAAGTTCGACATTGATATGAGGGGTAAATCAACATTTCCATCACAGTAGAAGAAAATCGACAAAATATATATGAAAAATATCAACAAACTATCACTAATATATATATATATATATATATATATATATATATATATAATATTAATATTAATTATTTTTAACTAATTTAGAAATAGGAAAATCTTTATTTGTTAATTTTAATATTTTTAGGATTTTTTAATTTTTCTAACTTTTATAGAAATATCCATCGACATCGACATTTTCGTCGATATTTCCATAAAATTGAGATCTCAACGTTTTCATCGACATTGACATTTAAAATCTTGGTTGAACTATATTTATAGGTGGGTCAATATTAACTAATCGTTATTGACTAGATATTTTATTGTAATATATTAGCTTCCCAATTTTTGTTAATTAATTATTAATAATAGATATTTTATCATAACATATTAGCGAGAATCATTTATAACTAATTTTTTGAAACAAATATTTATTACTCCATTATATATTGACAAAAATTTTCAATTAATTTTAACTTTCCAATTTCAATTTCATCCGACTCAACCCTAAACTTTAAATAAGAGACGCCAAAACGAGCATAGCTCAGCGGTAATTGACATATACCTGTGAAATAATACCCATTAGTTTACTTTTCTTTTCTTTTTCTTTCTTTTTTTTTCCTAAGATTTTATTGGTTATCTATGAGCATCAAAACTTTTTCAATTTGGAAAAATTAATTATTTTGGTTATGTTAGATACTTTAATATAATTTATTTATGAGCTATTTTCAAGTGTAGTTTTGAAAAGCATGTAGTAATTTCATCATTTATTCAAATGTAGGGTTGAATTTTATGAAGTTAAAAGTTTAAGGTTAAATTTATGTAAAGCTGTACATATGAGTATAAATTAAATTTGTTCAAATTTCTTATTATCCTGAAATTATTTGTGATTAATATTATATTATCTCTTATTATTGTTGATGATGAATTCACTTGCTATCATTTTTATGTAATAAATCAAATGTCTGGATGATAAATCTCTTATTATAGGATCACTCTGCTGCAGAATGTAACAGTTATTGTACTAAAGTTTGGATGATAAATCTCTTATTATTGTTTATGCTCTCATTTCTCGTTTCTTATTTTCTTCGGGTAGTGTCTCAATGCTGCGATGTGACAAGGCTTTAAATACTTCCTTTTCGTTTTAGGTTTTGTTTTTAAGTGTTGTTGCACAAACCTTTGAGTGGCGAGTTATGTTGAGGCACAAAAAAAGAGGGACAACATAAGTGTTTTGGCAGAGAGACAGAGACAAGATCCCGGAGTTGTAGTGCGCATCGTCAGAACCAATTCTTGTAGCCCTAGATCGGATGCTCGCTTGAGCATATTTTGGACTCTAATACCATATCAATATTTCATGAGATTCCTTTTCAAAACCAATTAACCATCAGAGGGGTAACTCATGTCTTATTATAAACCTTTATTAAGATCTCTTATCTTTTCAATGTGGGATCCTTACACTAAATACTTATGTTTCTCTAAAATAAAAAATGAGCAACATAAAACAAGAAACAAGAACATGATAAAAAAATCCTATTGACCTACAAACCTATAAGCTACAATTATTTGAATTAATTAAATAATTTAGATTCTATATCAATTTTAGTTGGAGGCCACGTCAACCACCTCAAAAATAGTGAGTTCGAATCTCAAATCTTGTCATATTAAAAGAAGAAAAAACCTCAAATTGATGGATATGTGTTCATCCCATATCATAAATCTTATTCAAAAAAGATGTTACATAGTTTATTACAAATAAAGCACCAATAAACCCATGAATAGTGGAAGAGGTTCAAATTAAACAACTTGCAATTTCTCAACTTGAACATAATCCTCAACATTCAACGGAACATATTCCGCCGACAGATACCCTTTAAGATGGTCGGAGAGAGCCGACGTGTCGACACTCTCCTGATGATGCGATTTGCAGACGAAATATAACACAGTTTCCGCCACAAGGTTGACCAAAACCACCAACAGAAACGACAGCACCCAAATAATCCCGAAAATACCCCTCCCCACC